TAATATCACATTACTGAGTATTAATGTCTGTAATTAACTAGTTTCACGATTTGTATTGCCACTACTCATTTTTACTTCTCATCAGATTTAGCTCCAAAAAATTTTAAAAGGAAAGTAAAAATGTCGAAATATTTACGTTATGTAATAAATCTTCTATGAAGTGTAACTGTAGACAAATAACAAAAAAATACTCTCGAAATGAAAAGGTCATAATCTTTCATGTCTCTTCGATGCAATAAATCACGTCTATTTGTTCTTCATCACAAATTGTATTCAGATATCATCTTGTTGTGAAAAGAGCCAACAATCATAAAAGGGATTTGTTGTTCTTTGCTGTTGCCAGGAAGGCAGTGCAATTTTATCATGATAATTTCTAACACTTCTTTTATTGTAATCCTTTTCGGGATCTTCAAACTTAATTGATTTTCATCAAAAATACCGTTCAACTGCGGATTTCTCTTTAGTCTTTCTCCTTTCAATGTGCGATCTCACTTTGCCCTCAGAAATAACTTTCCGTAAAGGCCTCTCTCGCTAAAACTTCACAAACACAAGCAAATTTCGTTGCAGGACTTGACCAATCACAATGTTTCCTCTCGGTAGACCGCCCTGCCTGAATGATTGGCCGGTCAAAGAGCTTTTGTTCCACGGGGCGGTGTGGTGTGTTGAAGGAGTAAGATAAACAATCCAGTATTTCAATTTCCTTCTGGATACCCAGCGTACGTATCGATCGACGTGGCGCCGCGCTGGTCATGAACCCTGTGACGGCGGGCGCGGTGGTTTTGACTTGCGTCCACGCAGTGACTCGCTCATGCTCTCGCCTCACTGGCACTGGCATACGTATCATCATCGTATCATTAATAATATAATTATCGTTAAAAAAATTCTCAGCACTGCGATTGCACATTCAATTGTGTATTAGTTAACCAGCCCGTCTGTTTACACACTTTGTAGTACGGCACATGTTGGCAGTAAACATTACAAATTGTTATGCAACACTGATGATTTGCTTGAAACATAGTGGAAGAGGAGTAAGAAGAGGAAGAAGATGATGATAAATGAGGATAGGGATGAGTGATATGCTGATGATGATGATGAAGATAAATGATTAAGAAGAGGAAGAAGAACAAGAGGAAGAATGAGAAGGAAAAGGAGATGAGTAAGGTGAAGAAGGAAGAAGAAAGAGGGAGGTAAAGGAAAGCGGAGATGATCAGAGAGGAGAAGAGAAGAGGGAAAGGAAAGAAGATATGTATTAACTTAGCACAATAAAGTGATTCGTTTAAATAATAAGTTATCCTTTCTCGATATCCTGAGTCATAGTCTACAGACCTTATTAGTAATAAAGTTTAAGACTAAAGAAGGCACCTTTCATTCACAAAGTATGAGACTTCATCACATTCAAATGAACTGCATTATCAGACCTGTTTGGAGACACTTGTTTTAAACCAGTTACAACCATATTTTGAAAAACCCTACCTACAAAACTGAGTGGACAGCGACATTTCCTATTATATGATTTGAGATCGAGGAAAGTTTAAATTCACGTATCTCATGGGTTAAATAGTTTCGTTCTAATTTTCACTGTATTCTGGGTCTACAAATTTTAAATATTAAAAATAGTAGCAGTAATGGATATTTACCAAAATCGATACACTAGCCTACAATCTCTTTAGCTAAATATAAATCATGTTTTAAAATATCTTTTAGAAAATATATATGTTGTGTATAATTAATGGGTAACTCTTTTGACTCGAAATAAAGTACCATTCTAAATGGACATTCCATTGCATTTTTCAATTCAAATTTATCTTTGGCAGACTTTCTTGAAATTTATAGAGGATCTCCCCTAAATTAAACTTTTTGACCTGGGATTAATTTTTTATCTGTTTTTTTATATTAAACTACTTAGATACTTGAGATAAACAAACGACATACTATTAAGAAAGTGTTCTACATAATTTAATTATCAACTTTATTTATTTTAACTTTGTACCTACAACTAAACGTTTATTTTGAAATGTGATGATTTAATATCATATTTCTTTTGTATATTAATTTAAATTTTTTCTTTTAGTAATCTTGCTCGCTCTTCAAACTTGATTATCCAGAAAGGTAAACTAAGTATGAATCCGTTAATAGAATTCAATCTTTTATCACTGATAACTCGGTACACATATTTCTGCCTCGTGCCAACTGTGATTCCGAAATATAATATCAGTCTTGTTAACAGTCGCATACCAACAGCGGAAAGCCCCTGCATTATTTTTCCCTTTATTTGAAGTCACATCTCTTCGCCAACAGGGTGGCGAAGAGGTAGTCAGAGCTTCGCTGTCGACCTTTTCAGATCTTTGCCGATACATCCGTTACTTCGTTAGTTTCGCCCACTCCATTAGCCGGAGTGACGGAGGACCACGTGTTGCATGGGCGAATGCTAATCTATAATTAGTGAAGTGAAACCACACAAGTGTCTTGATAAATAATCATCGAGAATAATTCCGGTGAAGAGCGACTCAAGTAAAATTAGTGTAGTGATGGCATACACATATGACCTCCAACAACTGAAGTCTAGTACTGCTTCTGATTGCTTCTTAACAGAGTTACAACTAGTCAGCCTACAAAAGGCATGTTTCATCCCAGATTACCCAAGGCAATTCACCGAAATGAAATGGTAGGGACGCTGAAGAACATCAATCAACACATACCACCCCCTGGCCAATGGCAAGAAGACCGATTCAACTCAGCCAGCCCAACGGTTCAATCTACTACAACAAAGACTCCTCAGACTCCAGAAAAAGGTCAGTGACAGACAAAAATATGAGGACTGAAACAAAAATGCAGTGAATATCACGATAGTTACAGTGATCAAGCACAATATTGACAGCAATTAATGTGCCGCTGAAACAGTTCGAACCTCTAAGTGAACTTGGAAAAAAGCAACGGAAAGTAGATTCGCTTCATTATTAACGACTGCCAATATGCAATAGGTGAAACCCTCAATAAAATTACCACAATCAAATAGTAGCAGACTAACAATATTAATGCATTCATCAAAGAACATAAATCTAAAATCACTCAAACTCATGGCAGACCCAAAAAAAACATAAAATAAAAATAAGTGCAAACTCCCTAACGGACTTTAAGAAACTTGATCATGTATTTAAATTACACTCATCGAAGTTTTCTTACTTAAGTCAATTAAATAAGAATATATCGTAGTAGTGTTCAGACGACAATCAATACATTACTGACAAGAAAAAAATATATGAAGACCTAAAAAAACGCATTCTTTTCTGATAAAAATTTACAGACTTCACATAGAAAACAGACCTATCCCAGTAGTTGCAGCTTGTTTTTTTCAGGACAAGATCAAATGACAATATTTTTATACATTAAGCAAATTTGTAACCACAGATAAAGCAGAAATAAGGAAAAACAGATCCATACAATGTGAGTGTGTCTGGTTAGGCCATACAAAGAGTAATTGCAAACCATTCAATTAGCTGGCGGCTTTTCGGAAACTGTCCTAAAATGGTAATCAAGTCCAAGTGCGTTAATGCTCATGGCAGCCACGAGGCCAATAATCGAAGATTCCAGCTGTCCTTAATCTACAACATACATTGAAAAAAGGAAAACTGGTCAAGCAAAACAACCTCCAAAATGGAAATCACATATCTTCTCACCACCTTTCACTACAACCAACACCCTTCCCTCTCTCCTTCCCCAAAACATGATTCCAGAATCCCCCCAAAAACCAGTTTTTGTATTAACTATAATATATTCACATTTTCAATGCAACTTATTAATTTTTATGTTGACTGAATACCACGTTTCTGTTGAATACACGAAAAAATGCTAATGAAGAGTTTGGTTTGTTGAATGAATTTTTGAGAAAATATGACTAATTAGAAATGCTTAAAAGAAAAAGCTTCTCTGAATTTTACTATGTTAATAATGGAATATTCCAGGCAATTCAGTAAATGCATGCGACATGTGAGACGTTGAGACACATTATTTTCTTTTTTGGTTTGCAGACTTCTTTCTTTCTGTAATGGAATATTTGTATTACGGAATGAGAGTAGAAATAATGCATCATTTCTACTACAAAGTAATATTAGGAAAAACATGCTGTAAAATAACAACCGAATTGGAAATAAAAAAACTAATAATATCAACTGGTGTGGTACAAAAATTGTCTTAAAATACAAATACAATATTGGTATTCCTCATATACGGACTTGAAATGTGTTCGATACAGCCGTGTAACCATTGTCAAGTTGACACGCGTAATAATGTCGCGCTGACGTTGGACCCTATCATTCAAGACCTCACCTATTTTTCAAAAGCAAAATGTTTACCCTGGTATTGTGATCAGTGTAGTTAACAAAATAACAAATAGAAACGCTCACGAGAAAAATGAATTTTGTGGTAAATTCTTACTGTTACGCCTGAGACATGTCTGTAAATTAAGTTCCTCTTCCTTCAAAATAGTGAATTTCTCGGCGGTAGAGGCCGCGCGTGAGAGGGACGTCGGGGCGGCGCGGGGCGGCGCGGGGCGGCGCGGAGCCGCGCGGCCGCGTAAAAATCAATAGACGACGAACGCCGCGCGCGCCGCTGGAGCACACGACGAACAAATGACTACCGAACCGCGGGGGCGAGGGATGTTCCTCGAGGAGGCCTGTTTTCGGAGTTCATTCTCGCGAGATTCCGTGCGGGATGCATAGCGATGAAATGTTTGCTCCCCTCTCAGAGGTTTGTCTGCAGAAGAGCTGGGGGAAAAGACAGGCATTCAGGAAGGGGAGGGTTTGGTGAATTTTGTGTCTGTTTTCTTTCGTATTTCATAGCTACTCTTTTCTTTACTTAGCTACTGTAAGGTATTGATATTCGAATAATAATTGAATTACACAAATTTTAAGTTTCTGTATGATGTCAGAATAAAAAAAATAAAAAATATGGTATTTCTTAAATATCAGTAAATTCTGTGAAACAATTTATGTGCTAAAAGAGCTGATAGTTACAATTACCTTTCACATGTTGTATGAAGAAGTCAAGGTATATTTTTGAAACAATCAATAGTGTTTAATAACTTTAAATGTATTGTGAAAATGTGTCATCATTAATTAGTTACGTGATGTATGTCCGTAGATGTAATGTAATGCACAAAGTCTAAATAACAGTTACAACTTACAGTGAGACACACAAGAAGCACTGCTCTGGATCTTAGTACAAATAAAACGCTTTCATTGTAGCGCACTTGGTTTTAATCCCCTCATATACCATCTACAAGAAAAAATCACAGTTCAAATACTTTAAAATATTTCAAATTAAACAGCAACATTGATAATTTTTATGAAAATGCGTTTTCGACAAATATGTACAGCTTACCTATTCACATTGCGTAATTTAAACGCATACAACCAAGCTATGGACACACACACGCTGATAAACCTTTTCGTGGGAGTTAAAATGTAGATTACATCTTCTAAAATTACTCTTGTGCAATTTCATTGCTCCTATAAATATATTTATCTACTCTTAAAACTTTATTATAATACTTGTCCATATCTTGGTCGTATTTACAATAAATAAAAGAAAATGTCATTCATATATCGCTTACCAAACCAAAACTTAGAATCGATTTATATTACTGTGTTGTGCGCATTTCATGCACTGGAAAATAATATAGTAATAGCACGCTAAATCTACAGTTTTTACAATCGTTACAGATACTTATAACACTGAAACACTGAATAACTGTCATCGTGACAGGAGCTCTCCAAAGGAGGGCGTTACAAACATGAGCTTTGTTTGATTTCACAGTTTTAAGACGATTTTACAAACAGCAACCCAACGCGTTCTCATATATTTTTCTCTATGCTGGTCCCAGTGGTCAATAGAAAGCAAAATAACTTAATCGTCGGTAAACGACAGAGGAATTTGTTCTAATGGAACAAGTTGACGAAAGCTGCTTATTATTAGAAAATCACGCGTCTCAGTTTGAGGTAGAACACGTAGTGGTGTTTTCGGTGCTAAAACAGTGTTCTGCGACTCATTTGGTGCGTGAGACAAACTGACCAATTAATTTCAAATTTTAATCCTTGCTATTAATTTTTCATGTATCGTGACGGTGATCAGAAATTTTAACTTCAACTAATGGGATTTAACATTTTATTGCGCAACACAAGGGTAGAATTTGAATGTACATTTCAATAAGTTTTTACAATTTGTAAACGACCTTTCAGTTTTGTATGCGGCTCTTGATGAAAGACCATCTCACGAACCATTTCGGTTGAGAACACCAGTCTAGGGCACCCTCATCTAAGCAATAGGAATGTGAAACAAACATCGAGTGCCTTTTAGAGTGACATCAATTGGAAAATGCTTTGTTATGTTTCAAGATTGTTTTAGATATTAAATTTATTCTAAAAAATAAAATTTCTGGTTATGTCCTGGTCTTTATTTAACCGAAGAGTTGAAAAGTTGATCGCGGAATCTACAATGTGAAAGTATCCAATTTGTCAACTGATGTCATATAAATAGTATGTTTTGCCTGGCACTTGCACACATTCCTATTAGGCGGAAAGCTAGGTTCTTGTGAAGGCACGAACGCATTCACTTGAGTTTTCGGGTTTCTGTCGCTGCGAGCAGTTTGTTTCGCTACTCCACCTCACTCTAGCCGTTCCTGAACGCAGGAGGGTTTTTTTGCTATTTGACGTAACAACACAAGTGGTTAGATCCTCAGTGGTTACTGGAAGGGAAAAAATTATTTTGACTCTCTCTAGCTTGCACACATAATGGCAGAACACAAGTCTAACTACAAAATGCAACGTGTGACCCTCACATATACATCTAAAGGCCAGCTTTAGTGTACTTTAACACGATACATTTAGCAAAAAATCACAAGTATATTGTTATATATTACATTGTATGTTTCTCATACAGAGCTCTACATTCTCTTGCGAGAACATGTAAATAATTGATGGTTTTCTTACTTGGAAAAAAGTCACCCAGGATTTCTATCTCAGAGCAACTAAAAGAATGACATCAAGATTTGAAAACTTGATAATGTATGGAAGGGAGTAGTTTTAATAGGGATTTTAATATAAGTGAAGGAACAATACAGGGCTCAAGAAAGCACATTTCTAAGTATAAATATGATACAATTCACAACCTGAAAGCTTCAGCCCTTCGTAAGATTACTTGTCACTTTGATAATGACAGCAAAATAAAAAGTTGCTTTCAGATTGATATCCTGGATGTGAACCAGCAACATGGAAGTCAGTCTTAGACCAATGACGTTGAGCTTTGCTCAGAAAACCTCTTCACTGCTTCATCTTTTAGGTTAATCCTATTTGCCTTGTTTTGATGTGAAGTATTCACGATATGACTTTATATGGCGAAACATTCATAATGCCACGAAGCCACGTAAATAGCCACACATGAGCTGTATTTACATTTGCAGCATTCATTAAACACTATTTTTAAATATCGTTGATATACTTGGTTTGAACAGTAACTCTTAGATATATCCTTCGGAATTTTTAAAGGAAAGTATTTGACGGGATTGGTAATTCGTATTTTCATCCTACTAAATTTATAACTAAATAAATTTTATTTTATTTTGGCATGACACCTCGATTAGTTGTTTCCTTATTCATACAATGCCTATTCATAATCTCACACACTCAGGTATTTAAAATCCAACCACAAAAAAGTTTTGAGCGTACACGAGAATTTGTTTACATTTGGGCATATCGTTTAAATATACATCTATCTACCTTTGCAACTGCCCGACAAGTCTACAGCGGAGGCCGTTGCTATGGAAACCGTGCGACGCGTGCGTTGAATACTACCCAAGGCAAAAACATTCACCGCCCCAACGCGGCGGGCATTGGTCGTGATATCTAAACTGCATGCAACACATTGGTTCTATCACGAGAGGCACAGAGAGGCGTTTAGGCGCGTGTCACAAGATATACTGGCTTCGCAGTGTCGCGGCATATGACTGAACTACTTTTTAAATATATTTTTTTGTATAATCTGCATGTAAAGAATATGTCCTGTACAATGCTTATGAAAATGAGTTTTGCTACAGCGAAGGCGTCATGCAAGGCGTTGTGGAATTGGTTCACGCACGAAAGCATCTTTCTGAGAAGTTTCCTTATTGATTGACTTGAATACGAGAAACCGTTTCTTCTTTTATTTAAACCAGCCACCAATAACATCACAAGCAGAGAAATTGCGTGAAAAAGCCTGATTATATTTTATAGATTTGTACGAACAAACCATTATTGCCAAATAAATGCTATAGAACACACGAATGTGACTCGAAAATCTGTTTCTGAAAAAGCGAACGGAAAGGAAAATCTCTTAGCATGGAATGAAAAACGTGAGGAAGAGAAAATACGGCGGCGGCAGAGGCTGGTTTAAATAAATTCTTGAGATCACACAAGAAGGTAAATTAATTTAAAAAAGAAATAAAATGAAAACAGTTTATTATTGATGAAATAAATAGATAAAACGACGGCGAACGCCCATTATGTGTCGTCGGTCAAAGAAATGTTCTGCACCGGCTGGTAACACTCGCCAAACAGGATCGAGCCGTTCTCTTGTGAAGGGAAAGCGGGGGTGACGACGAAAGTCGCGGGGGAGTCGGAGGAAAGAGAATGGGGTCATGGGGTGGCCACAACTCGCATCTTGCCACCCTAAGGGGCGCCCCCCCCCCCGAGGGTAGAGAAGGTCAGGAGAACGCGGCTTGCGCTCGGACAGAGCAACAACGCTGTCGGAAAAATACGGCCTCGCCCTGCTCGCTGCAATCGATTGTCTCTCTCTCGGCTGAGTCGAAAATAGCTCGGGATGTCGCCCACCGCGACTTGCTTGCCGCTTTGAGATACATCGGTGGAGCGTGCCTTGTCAGCACTAGATTGCACTCGCTGCGCATTCGAGCGTGGCTCCCATAGAAGGAAGTTACGATTGAAGAACAAATGTGGACATGAACCACTGGAAGTTTATGATTAATTATCATTCCATTGATTGTCATAACAAAAATTAAATAATCAGTCAACTTCACCATGTTGCTTACTATTCGTCATGGAGATCATTTTCTCGTTCTGGATTCACAGTCCCTGAATTAATGCTTTGTTGTATTGTATGTTCATTGTATTGTAGGTAAATACCTATTACAATATTCATAAACCATTACAAACATCCGATCGTAATTTTAAGCATTCTCGAATATAACAGAAACCTTTTTTGTCTTGTTTGTTATTGTATAGTTTATGAAGAAGAATTTTATAATACATGTTAAGTCCTAATTTTCTGAAGACACGACCCAAATGATTCTCTAAAAACACTTTAAACATTCATCCGCATACAGGGATGATGTTCCAATAGAACAAATGGCATTTTAACGTATGGGTAAATACGCATTTGAATTGAATTTGAATTGAGTTCGCCGGCTCTGTAGTTTTGTAATTTGTATGTAAATGGAGAGAAATTGTTTTCCCTTGTTCGAGTGAGGCTACTCGTACATTAATTTCGTTTCTTTAGTCTCATTTGTTTTTGATATTGAAGTGCTCGTTTCCCTAGCGACGCAGTGTATAACAGTGGCATGGCTGGAAACTAGAGAGCTCTGTTCCGAAGCACTCGTCCATTTCCCCGACTCCTCGCACAATTACTCCTCCCCTCGTGCACTTACACACGCTCGAGTCGAGCGCGGGGATCGAGTCAACGGCCGCCAGCAATTAGCTTTCTCCGCTTCCCTCAATGTTTTACCCGCAACATCAGTCGGCCTCCCCTTCCAAATTACGTCGCCACCCTGGTACCGCAAAATCGACGCCGACGAGAACCACGGGAGCGACGAGCGAGGCGGAGGATGACTGCTGCACCTCCGCACCACGCCGCTCGTTTGTTTCTCGCACAGTCACGTTCGGAGCGCCTCTTGCGGAATTAGCAGTAATTAAGTTGTCAAGCCCGCGAGGGTGCTGGCCGCGTCAGCGCCCGGCGGCAGCGCCTCAAGCGGGATCGATAGGAAACTGTGCTACGAAGCGCCCGCCTCTGCAAGTTTAGGGGGCTTTGGCTACCAGCCAGACACGAGGGCTTTTATTCATGGAACATCTCGTAATTCATCGCGACTTTAACTTCCAAGGTTCGTTTTTTTTCCGCGGAGTTCGCGGTTTTTATGTTTGAACCGAAGGGCGAAGAGGCTCTTCCTGGTGCGTTTACGTTGGGTCGAGTCGCCGAGTTTGTTTTTGTTGGGACGACACAAGACTTCGGAATGGAATGAAAATATCCGGTTGCCCCAGCGAGCGTAGGAAAGAGCTGGGACGCACTCTCTAGCGGGGGGGGTGTCTGAGACAAGGGCAGAGCTCCGCCAGATGAAGGGCGGCGGGGATGAGACCGAGGGAGGGAGGTCAGAGCGCTAGGCCTGGCGTAGGCGTTTCGAGGGCGCGGAGCCTCGGTCGAGATCAAAACCCTGTTGGCTCCGAACCCAACCGTCTCTTGCGAAGGCGGCGCCACGCGTGTTCCAGGGAAACTCACAAGGATTTGCTGGCGGGAAGGGGGATACGCGCGGCGAGAGATGAGCGCAGAGATCACACGTCTCACTTCTCAATTCCCAATAAGTGTGCTTGTGATGCAGATGCACCACGTGCGTTTGAGCTTTAGTTACAGCGCAAAACTTGTATTTTGTAAGTGATGTACCAAAAAGGTAACAATTTTCTTGGCAAAACCGAACAATATTAAAATAAATTATTTTCTGATCAATTTAATAATTCTAAAATTTGTTTTCAGTTTCATTAATAACATGAAAAGTCACATTTATTTCACCTTGATTGCTTACTAAATTCTCTGAAATCTTGTCAGTCATTTTATTTAATACTACTACATTTATATATCTATTTACTTTACTCAATAAGTGTAAAAATAATAGCTACTAAGATATTGACTTTTCTTCAAATATTAACTTGAAAAAGGTGGACTATTTTTCACATCATTCCATCGGATTCGCTAAAGATAGTGTCAATCAAGACATAAAAAGAGATGAAAATGAAAAGTCTCTGATAATAAATGGCAAAAATAAATAATAATTTTAACTAAAATAAATTTATGGAAAAAGGAAAGGTTTATATTAGATTAGAAAATCACATCACCAGTTATTTTAATCGCAAGTGTGATACTAAAATATATAGAAGCCTATTGATGTAACTAGAAGTCAAAATATTGCAAACAACATAATATTTGCAGTGTTTTCTATAAGGTTATTCTTATTCGCGATAATGGGATAAGAAATTGACTCTGAGACTATCATTCCTCCACTGATTCTCGTAATTCAAATAAAAAAGGGAAATTATTATTTTACTGTTGTCTACTGTATATTTAAAATCCAATAAATTAGCGTTCATTAATCATGGGTGGAACCGCGAAGGCGTTCCAGGTCAGGTATAATCAGAGGCGTTATAGGTGTCCACTATATTTTTTATCTCAGAAAAGACACTTTTCACTTAAATCTCTCGCAAAAGATGCTTTCATGCACACTTATGGTACAGTAGTTTTCTCTATCTAGGTCAAATTGTTTCCCACGTTCTCGTTAGGTAGATTATGGACCTTTCGTTTTCAGTGCGTTGAATTTTAAAATTTGTAGAAGGAAAGGAATATTCGAAGTGTTGGAAAAGAAGAAAAGCGAGCTCATCACTTCTACTGGACCCTCACATCAATATCCCACCGAATCCACACTCGAAACACCTTCGTAGAGATCTACGAAGGAATTTCATTGTCAAAAGACTTTCACAATTATGCCCTATATCAGTGATATTGAATCTATATGTGTTTCGCGCACTAATATTACTTGCTTACGAGATCACAAATAGATTAGAAATATAAATCCGACTATATCAGAGAGATAATCAGGAAATTTCTCTGTTTTGTTAGCCCTACACAATGATATAATTTATTAATTTAGTTGTAGTTGTTCTTTGAAACAAATTCGATAAATTACAATAATCAAAGTACGCAAACATTTGATTGAATATCACTGCCCTATGTAATTTATCCATCTAAATACCCTTATATTAATAGTCCCCTGCAAAATTTCATTCTCAAAAACCCCACCTAGCAATATCCTATAGAATTCGTCACTCTAAAAGCTCTCGAGCGACATCCCACACGATACAACTCTCGAATGACCCTCGTTTCTGAACCCCACGGAGCATTTCGTCGAAGAGAAATGTGATTGCATCGGAAGGAGCCCGGAAATTTCTCTCGCAGCCCTTTCGCACGCGAGCGACAGCTGCTCTGCTGCGATGCACTCAGGCGCGGGGGGTGTGACGGTTTGGGGAGAGGGGCATGGGGGCGCCGCAGCCGCCATCGCCGCGTGTGCCTCGCCTCGCCTCATGTCGGGCGCCGGTGGGGGCGTGCGCGCGGCGGGTCGTCGAGGGTCCAGCATTCCCCCTGGGGGAAACCGGCTGCGCGGGGCCAGGGGCGGGAGGGATAGGAGGAGCGGACGGGGGGGAGACAGCGAAAGGCGCGCCGAACAGCTAGCACGAGGAGCAGCGCCACGCGTCCGAGTTCTGTGGCTGCGTCAGGTCAACGTGCGTCGGCGACTTGTCCCCGCTCTCGAACAGGCTGGCCTGCGGACACAGAACAGGTTTTAGTAGAAACGCCCTTCTACCACGCAACACAGGACTCACAATGTACAAAACAATAATCAGTCGTTTCCCGTCTTTACGCATGCCCAACAAGACTAAATACAACCAAAATCATCTAAACAAATTAGGACAATTCTAAAACAACACTTAAGTACACAAACACGCACTTTGGTTCATATCACATAACCAACTACATAAAGAAATCTACTTCAAACCTGTCGCTAAAAATATCATATAGTATTCTACTTTCCACACATTTATATTCTAAATTAATGGAAGCTTCAAATATAATCGGATATAACCTCGACAAAACGCCTCGGCCTCCATTTTCCCGCAAAAAAAAGTACCCGTTCCAATTATTCCTGTTATGTAGCCTGATGACCGTTTTTTAACCGCAATCCCTGATCTGAGGATTTAAGTGTAGCTAATTAGAAAATCTGCATTACATATGTAGAGTTTCACAATATATGAATGATGTACTTGTCAACAAAATTAAAAATATAAATTCAGCCTTGTGGACAGGAGTCACGCAATTTCTAGAGCTCCATCGTGAAGCGCTGACATTGCAAACAGAATAAATGTAAAACCTATTTCTGTCTTGTCTTAAAAAGAGAAAACCATAGCAAGTTCCATAAATATTCTTACATATTTTAAGAGAAGGTTATTAAGCTTAAGAATACTTAAGTGTACTATGCGTACTGGCACTTTAACAGTTACCGGTTTGTGAAAGAATCATTGGCAAAAACATCGAGGGAAATTCGAATGCCTCTATCTAACGCAAGACCCCTTTGCCTGCCCCCTTGCCCCTATCCCTTTGCTGCCCGCTTCTCCTTCAGGTTGCTACATCGAACAGTATCGCACTGCGTAACGAGTGTAGTTAATGGCTGGCATGGGATAGGCAGGTCAGGCTCACAGCCTCATCCAGCAGTGTTACAATATTGATAAAACATCTCGAATTTGGTAAGTTTACGCGTTTAGCCACAGTTGTCTAGATGCAACCCGTAATATCGGTATGTCAGAAGGGTTGCATCGAAGCATTTTTTTTAAAGTTCTAAATATATTTGGTTCCAAATTAATAGATGAATAACAAAATGCGCATATTTTATAGCTGCATTGTTTGAGTATTGTTTTATAAATCCAAGTTGGCGTAAGTCATAAAGAAGTCATTCATGAAATTAATAATAGTGTTTTAAATATTAAGTCTATTTGAGTTTTTAGAAGATACAAATGTCTTTAATTGTTTCATAAACTTAAATGAAAAAAATGTCACGTATGTAGGTATTTCGTGGCTTTATGTCGTGTACATAATGGTCGTCCTCATTCATGAACAAATATTATACAAATACATCACACTGGGTTATATAACTTCTTTTCCCTTTTTCCAAAATTAATGGTAACATCTACGTTAGTAGTGTATTATCCCAAAGGTTTAAGCAAATATTATTTCATTATCATAATATCATCGTGGTAAACAATTTCCTTGAAGAATCGCTAAATTACAATTATTCAGTTGCAAAATATATTAGTAAACGTCTATTTTCAACAATAAGCATCTAAGTACATCTTAATTTTAGAGTAAATTGAGTCCTCCCAAGCTCTTGTGTACTTTTGTTTTAAACTACAACTCTTATGTTCGGATTGAGAAGAGCACTAGTTATATATTAATTTACACAAAATTGTATAACATTTTTGTTTTTGTAATTGTCACTTGGAAAAATTAACACAGGCGAATAACATAGAAATAGCACATTCAAAAAGCAAAGCAGCAGAGTCAAAAAGCATAGATCTCACCAAATGTAAACGTAACTTACAAATTAAGTAGTTATTCGATTCTATTCCTCTTGTCACAGTATGCAAGTGCTTAAGTATTACCCAATGACTGGAGTTAAAGAGAAAAGTAAATCGCATCGTGCACAAATCCTATAGACCCCTACATTTCGTAATGTGAATTTTAAGATGGCTAATACCAATGTTGAGGGACGTGGGTATATAAAAGGCATTGTGATCGTGAAGTGCGGGCGCGTGGATTGGGCACACATGCGGATTAGGCACGCATGGGTACATTTATGTATGTATGTTTGTATGTATGTAGTATGGAGAACTAAGGGTATTTTCATTGTCAGAGTTGGGTAATGTTTCTTAAGCACGTATATCTGCAAATGATATGTTGAATACGTGCAGATATGAATGCATATTTTCAAAAATGCATGTATTAAAATGAAACTGCGAATGTATTTATGGTTACTCACAGTGCGTTGTGTTATTTTAAAACTTGGTGTGTTTTAATGTGTATTGTATGTTGAATGAACATTGTGTTTCCCCTTAGAACTCTACAGGGTGTTTAAACCTAGGCACATTGCATATGTGTCTCTATCTATCTCTCCATCTATTGTTATTAACGTCGTTAAGTAGACATAGAACAAATAACACAGGCTGTTGAAATTTATAAACAGAGACGAAAGATGAAATTTGTAAACAACCGATTTCGTAGTTTAGGACACCAGCTGCGTATTGTTCAATACATTTAATAATACTGCACTTTAGACTGAAAGCATCCAAGTATAGAAACGTAAATGCACTCTTATCAGTCGACGATGTCTGTTAATGATTTAACAGTCCAACGTCCGTTAAAAACTACTGAAACACCAAGTTGCAATAATATATAATCCGTCATAATACTAGCTTATTAGAAAATATCATGCACTAAGAAACATCACATCTTAGAACCTTCCTTGTCTACAACTTAGTCGTTTTGATAGTTCTTAACGGACGGTAGACTATCAAAATCCTTAATGGATGCCTCTGTTAAGAGCGGCTTTTTTGTTTCTCTGTTTGGTTGCGTTTATTCGATATAAGAGTTGAGTATTACTAAAAAATAATTTAAGAAACCAAATCCTTCATCAAAACAATGCAAAAACTAGTGCGCGTTGGTAATTGAGATCTCATTTGAAGCCATTATCGCCTCACATGTTCGCACGCCAGAGGCCACTGCCTCCCGGTTATAGGCTCACGCTGCGTGCGTGACTGACCACCATTTGTTACAGATACAAAGCTACTCGGTACGTAAAATTTTTATGGCAGCCGTGAATGATTTACGATTAGTTTATTCTTTCGAGCAAGGGAAAGTACAGCTATCAAGGAACACAATAGAAATCCTTCGGGCCATTGAAAAATAGATCGAAGGTAATATATTTACTTTTACTCATATTATCCATCCGTGTTATTTGTCTGACAAACTGTAAGGAAGTAAAGCATTTTTTTTCTATTGTGAACGAAAATGCAGTGTAGATAAATAAGTTTGATTGCCATTATGTTTATTTTTCCTACGTGAAGTTAAAAGCTCTATAGCTAGCTTTAAATCGTAGAGAGTACTGGAAAGCTAGAGTACTAACTTTTCATAATATATTTTTAAAACTTTTTTTTAAAATGGTATATTTTAAATTGGATAGCGATTGGATGTATTTGGGAAAATAATTTTAATTCAAAACTCAATTCAACTTTAAATGGCCGCTAGAAATTAACTGTTAGAAATTGCAGTCCTTAAAGCCAATAATCTAATTATAAGATGTAAGGAACCAAATCATACAATATCTTTATTTTAAATCATGAAGTATGTTTATATTCTCTATTTTGAAATGTGCTGTTAGCTGAAAAAGCGTTAGCCAAAAATGAAGAGAAATGTGTTCAGTACAGTTAACGCTATAGAGCAAATGAAAATACGAATGGAAGACCGTTAAATGAAAGAAGAATAGACCGTTTTCTAAATTACCGTGGAAGAAATATCACTTTCACTTCGAAAAGAAAAAAAACTAAAGCCAAAAGTAAATTACCCGACCGTTAAAACTTCGTAGCGAACGCTCGGGAATTGCGTTAATTTTATTTTATTTGTGATATTTAACGCTGCCTGCCTTCGCCCGGTACAGTTTCACGGGAGATACCCTCGCACGCAGACGCCCCCGAAGATCATTAAAACGGCAGCGGAATAGATGGGGCACCGGAATGGGCCCAATGAATTTTAAACCGGCTGGAGAGCCCTTGAATGATTCAGCAACGGACGCAGCGAACGCGGAGGATGTGGGCGGCCTGGAGCGCGTGGGGCGAGGCGGGCCGGGGAAGATTTGGGCGGAGCGCTGTGGGGCGGGGCGGGGCGGGCCAAGGCGGGACGAGGTAGA